TTCTGGTTTTTCCAAGAAAATTGCCAAAAAAGGAAATTTTTTAGGAAATTTAGGATCAGCGGAAAGAGTTTTTTTTTATGATTAGTGAAAAAGGTTTATTTTATATAATTTTTATATAGTTTTATAAATAATTATATATATATTATTCAAATATTACTATATAATATTTAAATTATTGTTATTATAAATCTACTTATTTTTATAATTAAATAAATAAAATAGTTTGAAATAAATAAAAAAAAATTTTTTTTAACCCTTTGTCAGGCTAGTTATATATACTTTATTAAATAGTTATAGATTATACATTATATATGTGACACTAAAGCTAAATCTCTAACTAATTCACTTATTAAAGTTTTTATTCAAAACTCTAAGTACAACTTTAAGAATGATTTATCGCTCCATTAGTAGTTTGGGTAGAAACTCTTTCAACTTCCAACTTTATAATCTATAGATCACTACTGCAGATCACTTTTCTAGATTCTAACAAGAATCAAAATTCAACCATTTTATTATATACTTAATCTTATTTCTTATAATTTCTATAAGATTTTTATTTTTATTTTCTCTTTCATCTTCTCTTTATCTTATAGGTTCATGGTTAGAATCTTTTTGCAGAGTATCTTGTTTTTTTTACTTCTTGAATCTTCTTGTATTTCATTCTTCTATTAATTCTTTGTACCTGTTTCTATTCTATAATTTTTTCACATCTTATATTCTAAACTTGTTTAGAATCTGGTTGTAGACCTTTTTTTGTATTCTTAAAATCTATTTTTTTGTTATTATTTCTACCTTCTTATTATAAAAATTTAGGTTAATAGTTTCTTTGATAATATTATTTTTTACTAATCCTACATAAAAGTTAAGTATACTTAAACTTGTTTGTGAAGCTACTTTTATGAGTTTGAAGGCTCATCTATTTATTTTATCAGTTAAAATAAATAAATAATTTTTAAGTAATTTTATAAATTAATAAATATTTATAATTTATAATAATTAAAATTTATAAAAAAATTACTTTATATTATACTATATATATTTTTTTAGTGGATCATAAACACAAGTTTTTACTTATAAATTCTAAGTGAATATGTTTTGAAGATCAAAAGGATACTTGATAATGAGTGACATTTTTAACAAAACAATGATCCAAAGTATATAAGTTACTTAATAAAAGTTTTTATTATAAAAAATGTATTAGATAATATAAACTAACTATTTAATAGTTTTAACTTGAATTTGATCAAAAATTTATAGAGTATTGTCAAAGGCAATATGGAAAAACATATGTCAAAAAATCCAGATGATTTAGAATGATATATGGATAAGGAATAAAAAAAAAATAAAAAATTTGATTCTAATTGGATTGATTTAGTTCATAAGATAATGTTGTATACTAATTATAAAAAATAACAAAAAATATATAACTTATTGAAATGACTAATTTGAAAATATCAGTTTTAAACTTTAAATATTCAAAGTTTCCTGTGTTTTCATGTAACCATCATTGCATAGTAAAAAAAATAAATTCCAATTTTTTTTTATTAGTACTGTATATCATTAGATTAATTGAAATAAAAATTGAAATAAAAATTGAAAGACAGATCTCTTAATGCAAGCTTTTAATTAAAATAATATAATAATAAACTTATGAATATTCTAAAATAAAATATAACGAAAATAAATAATATATATATATATATATATTTATAAACAATTTCTTTAAAAAGCTGATTAAAAAAAATAAATTAGAAATAAATTTCATATGGATTCTAATTGAAAATAATATAATGATTAAATAATTTATAATAGAAGTTTTATTTTAACCTTCAATAGCTAGAACAAAATATTGGTTCTTCTTATAATATTATATATACCATGGTTTCATAGTCTTTATCATTACAAATTATAAGTATTATAATCAAAATATGAAAAATTGTCTACTTTATAAAACTTTTTGGTAATAAGAAAATAAACTAAAATTATGAATCAAACATTCATAGAAAATTATTTTACTTTGAACAAAGATTTTTAATGATCTGATAATAAAATTTTTAAAAGAATTCCAACTTGCATTATCATTATTATACCGTATATACTCGTAAATTTCAATCTTCCTTTTTCTTATTCTTCCCTTTATATAATTTAATCTTGCAATTTAGTGATTAGTGAATAACCCGCTTACCAACTTGCTGACAATAAATTTTATAATTGAAATAATTTCTTTGCAATTACGGGAAGAATAAAATATTGCTTTGTAGATTGAATTTAGAGGTGATCCAAGAACATATGCCAAAGACAAGTTTGTCGGCACATGAAAATTTGCCAAATTGTCAAATGTCATTATACAACCGTCTGTTAATAAAACATGTCATGATGGCCAGGTTGAAAAAAAAAAAAAAAGATATGATGATAATTTTTGATATTGCAAATTAAATTACCATATGATTAGTGTAATTATATTTTTTAAAAAAAAATATATTGCAAAGAAAGACTTTGTTATACTGTATACTGGGTATGAATTATGTATGCTAAACAATTTTCCCAATTATGTACTAGAAATCATTTTTTTTTCGAGGATAATAAGTAGTTATCAAAGTTTTTAACCTTAACATTTTAGCATTATTCCTTAGGAAAACTTTTTGCGAGTAAAAAAAAAAAAAAAAAACGAACCCGTTTATCATTGTAACTTTGCATAATTACATTTGTTTTTTCGGTAATTACGCATATAAGGAATTCGATAAAAATTCTTTGATGATTATTAACCGATAATCATTAGCACGAGTGATCTCTCGAAAACAGTCGTTGAGCCATTTAATTTTATGATATCAGATGTGATATAAAGAATATCTTTATATAATTTTTTTACACTATTACAAAATCAGATACAGTAGTAATAATGTGCTTTTCCGCGAGCATCCAGACGTTGGATTTAAATAAAATCACCGAAACCGATATATACTGTATGTGAAAAAACAACTGCGGGATAATAATGTAGTGTAGATTTGGGATAGAAAGGGGAATATTTTTTTTCTAGTGTTAAAAGAAATAATGAAATTGATTTTAGCAGTGACAACAGATGACTATACTTTAATAACCATGAGAGGAATCGAGCTTAAAATAAAAAAAGCCCCGCGGTGCATGAACTAGAATGTTCATTTTTTTTTTTTTTTTTTTTTTGAAGGAAAATAAAATAAAACAACAATTGTATAATAAAATGGTGTAAGAATAGTAATTGATAGCGAATAATGTGATAAAAGGTTTTTGCAACACGACAAACATTTAAATTCACGGATCAATATTGGTAAATAAATTAAGAGATGAATCTAGTAGTAGTATTCGTGTATGGAGATATACTTTCACGCCAAATAATCTAAAAAGGGATTAGAAAGAAAAATGGGTATGCGTAGGGAATAAAGTATTGATCATATTACATATACTATGATGAGAGAGGGAAAAAAAAAAAAAAATCAATGCTGTCCAGAATCCGATGAATCACTACTTGAATTTACCTGCTGGCCTGATAATAGTCACGTGTTGATTAATTATTTTAAGGAACTGAATGGTTGGCTGGCATTAGAAATTAATATCTGCATACCTTGATTTGATATCGACAAATCTGTATGGTCTTCAAGAGCATGGTGACCAATACCATTCACACCATTCACGCCATTCATCATACCGCCGCCTTGAGGATAATTAAAATTCTTTTGTGGTTGACCGTATCCATTTTGCTTATTCTGCGGACGGTTATTGAAATTCTTGTTTTGTAGGCGTTGTCCGTTATTGTTATTGTTATTATCTGTGAACAGTGGTGAGGAAAAAAAAAAAATTACAATTTCGGATGTATTGGTCAGGAAAATTTGAGGAGATTGAAAGCAACCGAATAATTGGATACCTGTATTATTATTATTGTTGTTGTTGTTGTTGCTGCGTGGTTTTCCGGCCTCAACTCGGAGCCGACCATGATCTGAATTCATGGTCTGATGTGCAAAGATAAACAGATTTTTAAACAGCGGTCATTTTGATGATTCAAAAAGAAGATCGAGGGAAACACCGAAGCCCACCTTGTCATTATACGATAAGGCTTTCTTCATCGCATCGGCGGTTTTAAAATCAAAGTGAGCAAATTGCTTATTAGGCGAATATCTAATGTCGGCGACCTTTTTGAATAGATGGTGACACATAAAAGTTGAGTCAAACACGATGTCAGAGCAGTTCCATCAAATAAAAGAAGGGATAAGAATAACGGATATCTCTATCTATTTACCTCACTCGCGTTAAACAGACCTTCCAGATCGCTTCTATCCATCTTACCGCTCCATGACACGAAAACGGTGAATTTCTGATTGTGTCACGAACATCAAAAATGTGAAGTCGAATACGACATATGTTATGAATCCGACAGATGGTTTGGTCACGAGGAACTTACCTTACGGTGATGGTTATTATTATTAATATTACTATTATTATTATTATTATTGATATTATTGTTATTTCTATTATTATTGTTATTGTTGTGGAAATTGTGGTGGTTGTGGTTATTGTTGTTTGTACCGTTCATGCCGCCTTGATGGTTAAATCGGCGTTGTGGTGTTTGCAATGACATGGGCACGTGCATGTTTGGCATCTGCTTGTTTTCATTGTTGAAACGCAAGCCCATATTTTCCTCAAAGTTGGATTCACAGAGGGGGGCACGGAGGTCGTTACGCTGATTTTATTTGAAACGAAAAGGGTAGGAGGGCGGCAAATTTTCAATTAACAAATAAGCACTCCAAGGAAAAGCGGATGGTAATGAATTGCGTACGCTGTTATAATCCGAGTCCGCCGATTCGTGATTGGAATGACCAAGAATGGACGTGAAATTGTTGTGGAGAGAGAAAGGATGATTGACGCTGGTAGATGATGATGCCACGTGCTCTTCGGATTCGATCGTTGTGGAAAATGATTGGTTTACTATCGTTATCGAAAGAAAATGAGTGAGCGCACTTTGTTCACTTAACGTGCGGTCAACAAGCTCATAAGCGGGTATACCTTCTACGGGTGCCGATGAATGAGGAACATGTGTCTGTGAGAAGGTCTTGATTGTGCGGGTTATAGAGTTAGAATTGTGGTGGACGTGAAATGAGTGCGACAAAATCAGTCTACCTCATTCTGAAAGACATCATCAACTACCCTAGAGATGGCTTTCTTAAGCTCCTGTCGAATGTTGCTATCATTCTGTGTGAACTGATCCGGCGACCTGTTCTGAAAGAGGGAATGAAGGAACCCAAATGATTAATGATCGAAGAAAGCTTGGGCCGAGTTAATGAGCTCAAAAAGTGAACCTACTCTCAATTCGTTTGTCAGGTTGGTTATCTGATCCTTTAGTTCCTTAATTTGGTCGTCCTTTTGCTATTAAAAGTATTCAAAAGCGTTAATGATTGATCGATCCGATCACAGTAACACTAGGCGGAAGGATGGGAGAAGTGGCGCATGAAAAGGAAGATGCATCAAGACGAAACGTTCAACTTCTCCTTCTACCAGGGACTGCCTGCGGGAGAGGGAATAGAGAGAGAACTTACGCAAACGATTGTCTTTAAATCGGTTATTAATTTGTCTAGGGTTTGTAGAGGGTTACTATCCATAGATTGTCGCTTGCGGAAAGAAGGAGCATTCAGTTTAGTTGTAACTGGAAGTTTAACGAAAGCAAAAAAGTTGATCGTCACTCGGGACATACGTGGCTCGGGGGGTAATCCAACGCAGCGGAGTTATCGAAGACAGACGACATGGTATTTCAAGAACCCAATGTACGTTTAGGTAAGGAAGCAGAGTGTGCCAAGAGAAAAAAAGTGTGGAGGGAAGGTCTTTCTGCAAGCTCGGAGAAGGAACAGGGAAAAAGAGAAAAGAAAAAGTGGTCTTGTGAAATGCTGATAGTCGGAGATTATTTTACTTGCGGAAGATGATTGTTGCTGCTTTTTTGGTATGGTCAGAGTATTTGAGTAGATAGACGGATAGATTTATGTATATATATATAGATATATAGATATATATATTCTATACGTAGCAAATGACGCCCGGTACACAAGAGACAAGGAGGATGAAATTTTTTTCGTCTGGGGATTTTATAGGAATATTTATGTATGCGTAGTCAGCATATATATATATATGTATGTATGTATGTATGAAACTTTATGCTGTATAAAAATAGATTATTGCTTTTGCTATTTTATACGTATCGCAATAAAAAAAAAAAAAAGAAAGAAAAAGGAAGTTGAGTGTGCATAAAAAAAAAATTTTTTTGATTTGCTGTGCGTCTTTCTTTGATTTTCCTGCGCGCGAAGATGATGACTTCACCAATTTTAAAACATGTATGTATAAAACTAGTGGTGACCAAGAGAGAGAGAGGGTAAGAAGATGATGGTCAAACAAATAAGACTAGGGTAGGGTATTGTTGGGCATTAAAATGACTCGGTTCTTTATCTGTGTGTAATAGCTTTTTTTTGTACGGTGGTGGGTGACACGGGGTTATATTGAGACGAACAGTGTGTGTATAGACACTCACACGTATATTTTGTACGGTGGTGGGTGACACGGGGTTATATTGAGACGAACAGTGTGTGTATAGACACTCACACGTATATACTGTATAATACAGGTATGACATTTACTACACACATATATACAGTATATACATGTACAGTATATATATATATATATATATATATATATATATACTGTAATGTTTCATTTAGCAGGCAATAAAATGATAAGGAAATGCCGCCATGGACGACCTGATTATGTGCTTTATACAATTGTTATTTGAATGGACGAAAACTTGAATGAAAACTTGGTTCACATATATACAACACTCCAAAGGTGAAGGAATTCCTCGGTAGACAAAACAAAACTTGACATAATGACACAATAGTAACGTAGGTTTGGCATTTTTCTTGGGGAACACACTATTGATTACGTCAAATTGCATCCGACACATGCATGCCAATATTACGAACGCACCGCGAGGATTGGGCACACAGGAAGTCCACACACTCCAAATTTGTAAAGAATTTAGTTTAGGTGGGTGACATACTTGCTATATTTTCCATCATCGGAATACGACGAAGAAGTCTTTAACTCTCAAGAAGGAAGTGGTGATACAGTCGAGGAACAGGATGAAAGAAATCTCGGATCAACCACTCCCTACCAGAGACAAAACAAAACCATCACACCACTTCATCATCATCACCACCACCACCACCACCACCACCACCGGGGCCACACTCGTGAAAAAAAAAAAAAAAAAAAATCCTCGGCCCGTTTTTTAGAAATCAAGATTGTGTGGCGAGACCCGTGAGACTTGCATAAGTCACACTTTCGCGCTTACCATAAATCGGATTTGCAGAATGTGACAGCTCGAGAATACAAGTAACCCCTTTCTTTCTTTCTTTTTAACAAATGTTACATTTATTATTACCCCTGGAAGCCACTGGTCCTTCCAAAAAGGCGATCTATCCATCATTTTCGATCGATAGCATCATCCATCACCCACACGTCACCCCTCTCACTCGACAACAGATCACGATCGACTATCAGATGTTACTACATTGTCGTGATGCTATTATTATAGTCATTTCTAGGTAAATTACAGATGGTTTTTGACCATTAGCACAATAGCAAAATTGCAAACCCTTTTATTTTGTTCGCCGATCAGGCAACGATTATTGGTTTGCTAACTTTTTTGTTAATCATCATTCACGCAAATCGATCGCAAATGATCGCATGTGCCAACGAGCAAAATCGGTATAATCACCGTTATGTTTCCCACGACGTCACTCGGATCACATCGCATCTCCCCTATCGTCGAGCTGTGGTGGTGGTGCACTTGGGGAAAAAAGATTATGTATGATACATCATCAACAAGCATGACATCGTCAACGGTAGACAGTAGTAGGTGTGTACTCGCGAATTCTGCGAATCAATCGGGTTCGCATTTACACACGAAACTTTATTGACTACACAGAAGGTGGCAAAAGGATACGCGGGAATGAAACCCACTCAGCGTAAACACAAGCACAAAACCTGTTAGCAGTGACAATGCGATATATTTCCTTCATTGTTTTCCCTCAAACTCTAAATACGTATTATTGTCACATTTTGGATAAATTAACTAATTACTTACATAACGTACATATGTAAAGTTTTACAAAAAAAAAGGTTTCTTTATGAGAATCACATTATACTAATATGGTAACGGATGTCAAAATAATCATTATTCTTAATAATCCTATTGTTACCAATGCCCATTTTTGGTAATTCTGGATCGAAGGAATCTATATTTAAGTGTAATGAACGACGAATGGGTGAGAGTGAAGTGCACACATACCCCGTAAGGGAATATAGAAGGACACAAATGGAATTCAAGAGCCCCGCCTGATCACCGGGCCCGTCTTCTTGTCCAGGTCCTTCCCTATTAAATCCTAAATCCTGTCTGCGTGCATACTTCAGAATCGAATTTCCCGTCGACAATTATAGTGTAAGAGAATGATTAGACTACATTCCCTTCGTCCAAACCAAACAAAGCATATCATCCCTGACGAATATCGCATCACACAAAGTGTGCGCAAGGCGTTGCGAACATAATCAGGTTGATGCTTAAATCGAGATACTGTATCTATCAGTGGTGGCCGTCAATATCACTTCAAAATTTGTTCGCATTACGCTTGCGTTCGTGCGTGTGCGTGCGCCTCTAAACATTGTGGTTCTAAATACAGTATACCCTCTGTGCGACAAGATGTGAATCCTCTAATCGAAAATCCTATTTGTCGACGATGGAACGTTGGTAGAGGTGTATATATATGCACGTGCTAACGTTTGCGTGCAGAAAGATTGATAATGAAAAAGACAGGCAAGCGTTATTATTTAATCATCATTATTATTATTAATTATTATTGTTATTGTTGTCATTATTATTGTTACGGTTATTGTCATTCGTCCAACACCGCTTTCGAGTTTGGACGCGTGAGAATTCGCGACTTTTCTTTCTGGCCCAAGGTTTTCGACAATGTCATCGGTGAGCGAGACTTCGGCATTTCCTTTTCTCAGGGCTGGAAAGCAGGCACAATGCAATGTGGGTGCGAAATGCGCGATGCAACACGTACAATAAAGGTGAGAGAAAGAGTTTTTTCAAAGAAAAACCTATATAGCACACACATGCGCGTGTATGCACGACCTGGTCACGCGAATTCCGGTGATTGAAATTTCCATATCTGTGATGAGAGGTGATGCGTGCATTGTACTGTAAGTCTTTGTTACGCTTGGTAAAAAAGTATTACCGACACAGACTTGAACAATTGACGGTCGCATGATGCATGCAAATCGCTTTTGCCACTTAAGTATTGTCTGTGTCACTCGGACTTCGAATACGTGGCGCATTCAGTCACTCTCCTCTTGACGCGATGAGAAAGTGTGCAGTATATGCATATACGAAAAATAAACAATTTGCACCCGGTGGTAAGTCTCGATGATCAGCCTAATATGCGTCATTTTCTCGAAGAAATAGGCAAAAAGAAAAAAAAAAGGATCGCGGACGTAACGTTCGAACATTCGATAACACACGCAAGTCGATCAATCATGCGCATCGCGCATTATTACCCACGATCGTCGATAGGCGAGACGGCGAATGACACCAAAGACAACAAAGCGTTGGTCGAGGAAAAGTTCGTCCTAATTTGTCGATCTGCAAAATCGAGGAATACAGAGTTTTCTCATGGAATGTACGAGAATGCAGGGATCAAGGGGCGCACCAATTAGATCTAATAACGATCCGAAGGAGGACATCCATGGATTGATCCGTGGGATTTAAAAGCACGATATAATGAAACAAGTGAACATCACTGAAACAAGGTTCATTATGCGATAATAATGTCGATGAAAGTAAACAAATAGTGAGCCTGTCCATGTGCGTCGCACTAGCTTTAAAAAAGCTTTTCTTTTTTAATTACATTATATTCGATAAATGCAAGCGGTGATGGATTTTAAAGGGGGGGGGGAGAACAGGTAAACAAATTTCCGTCGTAATCATTGACATGAAATATTAAGGAGACCCACAATCAACCTTACCTTAAAGGAGTTAGCACGTCGATGAAAATTCGAGGTATTGGCATACACCGTAGGCGGGAATCGATGGTGATTGGCGTGCCTTGATTAACCGAGCAAACGGTAGGTCGCTGTGAAAAAAAAAATTTTTTTTTTCCTTCTATCCGAAAGGACGATTGAAGGAGAGCGAACAACAACGACCATGGGAGACAACTCGGCAATGCCATTTATGCAAAGGATAAACACTGACAGCAATAAATAATATTTGTTTGTCGCACGAATAGTTAGACAAACAAATAAATGTCATGATCACAGAACCTTTCGCCCAATGAACCTACTTGAACAACGTGACCTGTTAAGTCAAAGCGGTAGAATTCCGAACGTGTCAATCACGCGCGTACGCGGTAAGACATGGGCATACGTTAAGAAATTTTGATTGGCCACGAAGACTGGTCGAAAACCTGATGACGACGGTGCTTCGAGAAAACTTAAAAAACTGGATTTTTCCAAAGGTGACACACGCGCGGCTACAGAAAAAAAAATTAATAATAAAAATAATAAATCATGGAGCTATGACCGAATACTCGAATTCGGTGTTATCGGGATTACATCCTATATCTGGAGCACTTGTAATTTCAGGATTTAATGGAAGGTGACCATAAATAGGCGCACAGGTGTGTTCACTCGAATAAGCGATGTCTAAAGAATGATCGTTTTACGCCAAACCGAATTCATGCACGCAAACGTAAACTCGCATATCTTCTTGTCGATGGCAGGTCGTATAATGATCACATCTCACTTCTTAAATCTTTGGTGTTTGCCGTTCTCAAAGGAATTGATTATAAAATCCCGTCCGACGTTGCTAGCATACACGGCACTCATCGATGAATTAAAACCGAGATCGCTATGTAGTTAGTTACAGGCAAGCAAGCATTGGAATAAATCGTTCATTCCCCACTCATCTTTTTTTTTCTTTTTTTTCTCTCTGATTCGTGATCCATCTGGTGGATGCATTAAAAAATATGTGCATGTGTCACCGAGTGCTGATAATTCGTAGGTGGCACACCAGATTAAATTCTGTCATTTCAACGTATCACCACAAATTCACCAGTTCACTCAGCCTATCCGATTTCTCATTGGCCTATTGACTCGACTCATTGCATGTGGGCGTCATCTCCTTCAATTGATACCGGTTTGATTCATTATTACGGGCTTTTCCTACCGTTCATTATTTCCAACTTTAATATTGATTTCCGTTTAAATTTTTGGTGGGGTTCCTGTGTTTTTGTTTGTTTTTGATTTATTTTCCTGTTTTGCATTTTTGATTTTGTTTGCTTTTTGAAACCTCCATTTTCGATGTGATAGATTGAGGTTTCATGAATGAACTGATGAGTCATCACATTAGGGGCACACAGGAACCTTGTTCCCTTGCGGAACCCAATAAAATTCGCCGTGACAAATCCATTATTTCCGGGTTTGTCCACCTTAGAGACCTTTTTTCATGTCCATAGTCATATACATTGATGTCGAATTTTTCCTATTGAGGGTTCCCCTTCGTGGTAAATGACTGGTCTGCGGGAGCTGATTCGCCGGTGCCAGGAATGACGTCTCGTGCGACTTTACAACTTGGGTTTTCCCATTCACCTCTATAGACCAACAAATAAGAGTGAAGATGAAAGAAATGGGTTGAAAGGAAGCGATGTCCAAAATGAGCTCGAACGAATTGAGGCAATGAGTCTGCCGAGTTACGATACCTCAAGCGTCTGCCCAGGAACGCGATTATCGGTGCAGGAAGGAAAACAAGAAGCCGAGACCGCGCAAATTGTACAGTGAATGAGAACGAAAATGGGTGACAAGAAGACTTTGCACAATTTCAATTTAAGAAGACGGTGACATCTCCCATGGAATTTATTTAGTCTAATGGTTTACCAGGTTAGCCTAGTTGTGTATATTCGTTCATTGATGATGATCATTGCGAATATATATGGTAAGCCTTTATAGAGAGAATGCCCCCGATAATATAGAGGCACATACAGTAAATGTGCGTATATGCATTCGAAGAAACTAGCATTCAAATTCAAAACGTGATTAATGTGCGCGATCTGAAATAAAAAGTGAAATGCTGTAGCACGCTCGAAAAGATGTGCTGAAAATAAAAATGAATACGAATTTTTAATTTTATTTGTTCACCACTTTGATTGATTAAATGACGGATTTTGGTCATCCTGCGTATTTGTATAGGTGAATGAACACAAAGATGGTTAGCACAGCACGGATTTGATTGGTGCGGTATTAGGTGTCTGGGGTTCAGGTGAGTGGTGGACTCACTAGAGGGAAGGCGGAACCGGTGTAAGTGGACTAGACTTATATTTATTAAAGATTTATGTAATATAAACAAATACCAACCTTTTCATTGGTGACGCATGCACGTAAGAGGTAATGTGACTATACGATATTTATAGCCTAGTGACATTTGCGGCGTCACAAAGATCGGTGTGGTAATAATAATGCATAATGATACGTGGATTTCGAATTATTTCGAATTCTTTGTTTTGCATGCAATTAATCACATCAAAGGAAAAGGAGTTCCTCGTGTAAAAAAACAATATCGAAATATCAATTCCATTCAAAGTCGGAAACCCGATCCTCTTTCTTGAATCTACTTTTTTTTGTTTTGCCACACCCAACCATACTTCTTTGTCAAATAGGTTCCCCGCAAATATCTTTATTCCTGTTTTTTCGATGATGTAATATACAGTATAATCTTTGCCAAGTAATGACACGATTAAGATCCTTTTATCATACACGTGGAATGCTGACGAGTGGGATTTTTCTAATACTGTTTAAATTTTCTTTGAACTATAGTCATTTATACATAATGAAATAATAATAATGACCGTATCAAAGAATATTCAATTTTAAACGGGCTTATCGAAAATATTTTCACATTTGCAATCGATTCAATTTGAGCTTTGGAATTACCGTAGATCTCATCAATCCTTTTTTTTTTTTTTTTTTCCTAATAGTTTTAATGCCTGATACTCATTATCACAAAATCTTTGAACAATTTGGATTTTTTTGTTTAATAGTCAATTATATTTTTGGCTATAATAATTCCAATTATCTTTTAATCTTGATTTTTTTAAAAAAAATATACAGTAGCGACAAAAAAAAACGACAATTCAATTGTTATTTTTTATTACATATAAAGGTTTTTCTAAAATTGTTTAAATAACTTAAAATTTATACACAGGGTTTAAAAATTTATATACAGTAAATTCAAAAATCACAATATATATACTGTAATAATATTGTTATTTAAAGATATATGGATATCATTAAAAAAATTAAAAATTAAAAAGTTGGCAAGTCACCAATCTTAATATAATAATTTTTTCTAATATTCTTTATAATGATTTTTTTTTTTTTTTTTACCCTCTATCAGGTTAGTTATGTATGTTTTATTAAACATTTGTAGGTTATATTTATTAAATGAAACATTAAAGCTAATTCTCTAACTAACTTACTTGTTTTAATTATATTACCTCTCTAAGTGCAACTTTAGGGGTGATTAGAGGTTCAAATAAAGATCCTTTCAACTTTTAACATTATTGCTCACAGGTTACTATTGCAGATCACTCTTTTGAGCTTTGACAAAAATTAAAATCCAACTATTTCATACTATACTTCACACTATTTAGTAGAATTTTTTCCAATTTCTTGTTTTCAATTCTTTTTTCTTTATATACAACTTCTTATCAAATTGACTTTTTATACTCTTGCTCTTTTTTTTTGACCCTGTAGATATAATAATCTTTTTATCTTGTCACATTTATAGATTTCTAATATTTGTTCCCATTTAATTACCTTTTTATATCTCACATTTCATATTTTCTTTCAAAAGTGATTACATACTTTTTCCTATATTTTTATTATCTATTTTTTTGCCTCTTTTTTAATTATTTTATCACAACACTTCAAATTCACTATTTTTGTAATTATTTTTTCCTCTATTAATTTCATATAGAAACTAGGTATATCATGACTGGTTTCTGAGATCCTTTTTATTAAGTTTAACTTTTTCTCTTTAAATTCCTTTTTTCTTTCTTTTGAAAGCTTTTTGAATCTTTTTGGGATCCTTTTATTTCTTTTTGTTATGCTTCATTTCACTGAGTCTTGTAAGTTGAACATTCTAGCAAGTGTTCTATTGTTTTCTCTTTTTGATTACACATAATACATTTCATTTGTTTATAGATCTAATCTTCTTATAATAAACTTGGTTAATATTGATAATTCATTATTGATCAATTTAATAAAAAAACTTTTGTTTTATGAACTCTTAAAGGAAATGTTTTAAATATATCTATTCTTAAATTGTTCCTATACTAGATCCCATATATATTTGTGTTGGTTTTGGATTTTCTAATTCTATCTCTTTCTAATTCTATCTTGAGTTGTTTATTGGTAGACTATTACTTTATTATTTATTTTTTTTATAACTTGTCTTATAGAGGTATCTAGCACTATATTTTGATATTTAATTTCTGTGATGATCTTGGGTAAGATCAAGTTTTTTTATTTTATCACTAGAAATCTTAATGCTTTTTTGACAAGAGTGTCTGTTTCTTCATTATACTGAATGTTAAAATATACTTTAACCTTGATAAACTTGAGATCCAACTTTTTTTTTCTTTATAAAATCTAACATATGTATCTATAAGAATCAGTTTTATTATTTTAACTATCTTTTGTAAGTCATTCTGGGATTCTTCTTTTCTATAGTTTTTCACTTTGAAATATAGACTTGACTATCTATAAAGATCTTAATCTTATTGACTACTGAAACTACTAGTAATATAATTATTATTGCTACTAATTCTGTTTTAGTGGATGAAGGTCAATTGTCTATTTCAGTATGAAACTTTCTTTCTCTTTCTGCCTCTCCTATTTGTATTCAAGCTGCTTCCATTTTCATATTTGTACTTCTGTGATTTATAAGGGACCTGTCAGAGTAAAAGGTTATTGGTTCTTTTATTTTCTTGTTATATTTAAGTATTTTGATCAGATAAGATTAATAGGTACCTTCTTCAATATAATCTTTGATAATGTTTACTTTCAAATTCTTTACTTCAACCTGTAATATTCTTTCATTCTGGATAGTTACTTGGTTAATATATATTGTTCTACATATAATAATAAATCCCTAAAGTCTAACATTATATCCTATAACTAAAAGTAAATAATATCCTCTCCAAACTTTAAGTTATGGAATATAATTTTATAACTGAAAGTCAGTTTATAATTGAAAGTCAATTTTTTATAATCAAAAGTCAGTTTATAATTGAAAGTCAATTTTTTATAACCAAAAGTCAATTTTATAACTAAAAGTCAATTTTTTATAATTGAAAGTCAATTTTATAACTGAAAATCAATTTTATAGTTAAGAATCAATTTGATATATAAAATTAAGGATATAAATGATTTGATAACTGAAAGTAAGAACATAATATATAAATTTTGATCAAAAGATCTAACTCAAAATATTTTTAATTAATTAATTTATTTTTAGTAACATACAGTATAGTTGAATCAAAATATAATGATGACCAAATTTTTTGTCATGAAAACATTTTTTATTAATTAAATTTATCTCAAAATTTTTTATTTAAAATATTAATATTTATCTTATATATTCTTAAATTATCAAAAAATTATCATTTTTTTTCATATAGTTATTTAATATTTAGTTTGATTGTTTATAAAAATTTTAAAGTTCTTTAATGTAATAGACATTTATATCAATAAATTATTAGAAAAACTTATAAAGATATTTTATTAAACTTTGTTTAAATCATAAAATAAACATTTTTATTAATAGAAAAATATCA